AACAATGTTAATTTGCAACTTAATGTAACTTTTATATCAAATGTAACTGGCCTTCTTGCCATTCAGATGGGAAGGCTACATTATACTTATATAGAAAGTGATTATACTTATTTTAAAATACTTACATTATGTGTAGAAAATAATGAGAGATTATTATAATTTTCTAACATAAAAACCTGTAAGAATGGAAACCTGAATACCTGTAAACTGCATTTGGTCAGAAATAGAAATACAGTAAAAATATCTGAAAGCTGCAGGATGTTGTTCCAGTTACGTTGTGCCAACTTAAATAAGGTTATTGACCAGCAACGGGAGCTTTTGGGCTTTCACATACCTGCTGGTACACTAAAATTGGGAGCCATAAGCAGCTGCAACCAGTGACTTTCTGTTTCCCTTACCAGTATTTGTGTCCCTGCCCCAGGAACCCTTATTTCCCCTCAATCTACAAACAAAGAAAATGAAATTAATGGGGAGGAGTGAAAATGGGTGGCAGATGACTGCACAGGTATCACACAGTATCTCAAAGAAATGAAGCTCTTGCAATACCCTTCTTTCTGGTTTTGAAGGCCCCCATGACCACCTACACCATGGAGGCCTCTGAACCAGGTCACCACGCACTGATCACTACCTGGAAATCAGCCCTGAGGTCCTGGAGGCCAACGGAGATTTACCACAGCTCTACCGAACACAGCACCATTTCTGGGTGCTTCGGTAACTCCACTGGGCCTAACAAATACCAACAAAACTCTGAATATCTGCTCTGCAGATAGCAGCTAGCTACAAACACCGTTCAAGCTGGAAAGATGGCTCCAGCCTACAAAAGCTTTTGCATTTGAGGTAGCAAGCTCCAACACATTCTGATATCTATCAGGATAATCTCTGAATAGACAGAGATGCATCTGTATTTCACTGCAAGAAAAAAAAACATCTCAGGGACTCTCTGGGAAGTCTAATGTGGTAGACATAAAAATTAAAAGAGTCACTTGGCATTCAAGGGTGGAGCGACTCCTCTGCTCTGAGGAAGCAAACCATTTGGATGGGCTTTCTTCATGGCTCTGAATTCTGTCCCACTGTCATCCAAACCTCTTTTTCCAGCAAGCCATGGGGCTCTCAAAGAGGACATCCCACCCCAGCTAGGAGACTTCCACTCCCCATGGTTGAGCAAAGTTGACTGTGCTCGCATAGGCATGGAGGGAGAGCTGCCATGTCACAGAGCGTGACTCTGCTTGAGATCACACTTGTCTGTCGAGCGAGCGAACCCTGGGAAAATGAAAAAGTGGAACCCACAACTGGAACTGCCAGAGGCCAGGGCTGGCACAGAGGATGACACAGGCTCCGGGTGTTGTGTGGCCTGGGTGAGCCAGGCTGGCTCCAACCCCTGCCACAGCACAAGCCCACGCCGAGCCAGGAGGAGTTCAAAGGCAGCAAACCCGTTCCGAAGGAGCAAGGCGTTGGCCAGCGCTGATTCAAGCACTGCCCCGCTTAATGCCAGGAACCGGACTCGTATCACCCGCAACTCTGTCTGATTCACCAGAGACCGAGTGTACTACGTCCATACTAAGCCCAAGGAAAGGGGTGAACTGCTGCTCGGAGCCTCCCTGAGCTTAATCCATCATTTTCCCTCCCCAGCTCCATATCCTAAGAAAGCAATTAGCATGGGCAAAGTATTTCGAAAAGCCCTGGCTACTGCTGAAAACTCAAGAAGCATTATCATCCCAAATTACTACTGGACCTATACTGACTTTACACATAACATAAAAAACTGCCCATGAAACTGCCCTGTGGCAATCCAAAAATATGCATTTTGCAAATTCAGAGCCTTATCCAAAGACCTCCTTGGTAAAAAGCCAGAGGGTGCTTGCCAAAAGTCAACAATGCAAATTTTTCAGATAAAGGAAACCTGACACCTCAAGCCCCAGATTGCCTACCATTTCCATTTCAGTTTGGGTTTCAGAGAATAACCACTGTGGAGTATTTTCCCATTGAGCCCAAAGTGATGGCTGGGGCTCCCGCGAGTCCAGCAACCCTCTCTCTTCAAAGGGAGTTGGAGTGAGCGAGTAACTATCAACATGCCAAACCACACTGGCTGGTTCTCACTGACAGCCTCCAAAATTGGTGTGGCCAGCATGACAGAAGACCAAGTGCTGCTGAAATGTGCTAGCTGAATGCCAAAAGGAGGAAAGGACCACGGGTGTAACCAAAGAGAGGAGAGACAATGACACTCAGAGGTGCTGGCTGGGGCTATGGAAGTAAGTGGAAGTAGGTGAGAATACATTGTGGCAATGAAAATTCTGCTTTTTTTTTTTTTTTTTCCTATGAGCATTGCAGTAATAAAGCTATAAAGGTGGAAACAGATATGAAAGCTGTGGCCTTGGCTTCATTTCAGAGGAATAGGAGCCAAATATTACACCAGGAGGCTGACGATTGTGCCCTATACTGTCTGGAGACGTGCAAAGAATGGCACCAACCAACTAATAAATCTATTCCACCCCTGCCCCAGAGTCCAACAGCTGCTGATCTCCGTTCTTCAGAGTCCATGTAATGGTCCACATCTATCTTCTGTAGCCTTTGATGCTGGAGACATGAGGAGAATGATGGTGAAGCAAAGGCCTTGAGTTCCACCTACAAGGCAGAGTTAAGGTGCCTGCTGCTTCACCGTCAGGCAGTGACAGCACCATCACTGACAATGCTGCTGAAACAAACAGGTGGCCAACAGACTTGTCACATTGGCTAGGAATTAAATCATCGCCACTGCAATATGCCAAAGAACGTCCCATAGGCAGGTACTTGGCTTAGTGAACACCTCCAAGAGGACTTACGAAGGGCATGCGGTCCTGTGAAGCAGGTCAAGAAAAGCTAGGCTTTATCCTTTAACAAAGGAAAACGTTTCTCTCCAAAGCTTCTCCTGTGCAAGAATTAGCACTGAAAAACATAGGAAAAGCAGACCTACAAACCAGCTTATTACAGTGGCTTGGTCTGGGATCTTGTTACCAAGAACTCTCTCCCTCACATGAGTTACTGCTCATGGAGAGATGGCTCCATGTTTTATGTGGGCTTTTCCAAGACTGGGAGCAAACCCCAGTAACGATAGCATTTGTGCTTCAGCGGTCCAGTGTCTACATCCAGGTGGAGCACAAAGATTTTTCCTAAAGGTACGGGAAGGATAACAGGACACACGTTGACTCCAGTGAACTGATGAGCGTATTTGTCTGTGGCAAGAGCTCAAACACCTGGAATTTCTCTGCTTGCCGACACAGAGGTTACCAAGAAAAGAGAAAGTCATGAAGGCAGCAGAAGATATTTCTCTGAGTACTTGCAACCAGCAAACAGTGCCAGTGGCTAGTGTGCCTCATCCTCTGACAAAGGTGTTTGTAACTAAACTGTGCCGATGATAGTGATGCATTACAGCACCCCAGTGGTTGTCCAGAGGAAGAAGGATAGCATGGATGCCACTGAGAGGTCAGGAATAGCAAAAGCAATTCCACGAGGAACCCTCCCTTTTCCCTGCCTTTCTGGAGAAGGGTGAGAATCAGAGCTAGCCGTGCCAGGATCCTGCTATGCCCATCACAGCTTGAACATGGACTTCTCCAGACCCATGCATTTCCCTTGCAAAAAATGACCCACCCAACAAGGGGAATGGCACAGTGCTGACACAGACACCTCTGCTCCACACAAGCACTGAGGAAAGAGCCACAGCACTCCAAGGCAGGGTGTAAATTCCTAGACAGCTGAAGTATCAGAAAAAAAAAAATAAGTAAAAAAGGAGAAAAGAACCTGAAAAAAAAAAAAAATTACATCTACCGCAGCCAGGTATGACAACCACACCATGTGAAGAGAGTCATCTGAACTATGGAAACACATGTGGAGCACATTTCTTGCAAGACCTAGAAGGGACCACAGTCTACCTCTGTCATACTGATAAGGAAACACACTGTTATCCATAAAACAAGTGAGCAAGAGGATTAGCATGTAAAGAACACTGAATACTCAGGAAAAAAAAAACCACATAAAATATATTTTCTTTTAAAGAAGTAAACAAGGAATCTATAATTAATAAACAACTGGTTGTTTCTGGTCACCGAGACCTTCAGAAGTCATAGAATTAATTTCCTCTTCCATCTCTTCTACACATAAATTAAAAAGGGAAAATTAATTATGTCATTTTTGCAACTGTCAATCAGTTCCTCTGCCTTGAATTAGCCAGATATTGAATTAAATCAAATGAATAAAATGATGTGAAGAAAACAGTTGCTCTGAAATGGTGGAATACACTACTCCCCAAATGGGCTTAATATTTCCATCAACACCATTTCCGAGCATTTAATCAATTATCTCCTGCAATTTGTATTTTGTTTTCTTTAAAACTTCAGCAGACATAAACATCTTTGGATCACTTCATTTAATACAAATAACTAAACATATTACAATTAATTTGGGCTATATTACAAGTTTGTCTTTTTCAAATCCAAAGTACCAGGGTTTTAAAATAATCATAATCCTTTCCAGTTTTAAAAATTTCCCAACCAAGCAAAAAGTATTTTCCATCCTCCAAAGTAATCCAGAACATAGACCATATTGCTTACTAATGTACATTCAATCTGGAATACACTGGTGTCACCAATCTAACATGAAATACAGGTGTGCAGAAGACCATTCTGTATCCACTTCAGAACACAATCATCGGTTACTGACAAATATATTTAAAATATAAAAAAAAAATACGAACTGACCTACTGGCTACTCTACTAATCCTGGGATTTTATTTTGCCTGAGATTCCCCAGGGTTTATTCAGAAAACAAAGTAATTGCATAAACTCAGAGGCACAGTTCTCCATTGAGAAAGTCTTCTACAAGAATGTGCAAAAACCCACATCGAGAGTGCCTCATGGGTTGATCTAAGGAAGGCAAATACCGTGAAAAGGAGCAATGCTGGAAGAAACACTAGGTGAACATAGAAGCAGAGGTAATATGAAGAAAACAGAAATGTGCAGATTTACTTGTTCCAGTCAACAACAGTAGCTAAAGTTTATTGATTTCACTTTCAGCAGCTAAAAATTCATGAAAACATTTTTATATGATACAAATAATACTATCCCATATTCAAATTTCTATCAAAGTAATAATATAGACTAGAATTTTCTCACAGTCATTGAGATTTACTTATCAATTAGTACAATAAAACCTATTTTAAAATATAAACATTACTAAGTGCAAATAGTTTTTGTATCCAATTGTAATTTAGCTGTTCAATTGTATGGAAATATCTAAGTAAAGAGACTAACAAAATATAACTGTTAGCTACAAAAATAGCTGGACACATTCTCAGCCACTGTCTCTCAACTGCTCCCTTTATATCCACTGTAAAACTACTTCCAACACACTAATCACATCTATTTGGAAGAAACTAAAATTATATGATTTCAAACTATTTTCATTAGAAAAACAGTCCTTTAACAACAGCTTTTACTCTTCCATCTAATTATATACTCTTAAAGGCCAAATATTCAGTCAGTATGCAAAAATAGCCATAGCCTTTTATTAAGGATAAAACACCAGATAAGAGTTCATAAGAAAAATAAAGATGCTCTTTGCCTCTACCAGCAACACTGTCCAATATAGGAAATTACATTTAATTTTAAAATTTTAAGTACATGTATGTCAAAGTCTTAGTAACTCCTATCAGAGACTTACTACAATTAAGTCTGTTCACAGCACTGTAACTTGCTGGACTGCATGGCTAGAATTTCCTTGGGGATACTTCACACAACAGCCAAGATGTTTGAAAAACTACCTTTTTAAAAAGCTCTTCCCTCACTCTATACTAAGTAATCTGCACTTAAAACCCCAAGAAATCTTACCTACCTGGAATATTTTTTGTGACCAACAGTCAAATAAAAAAGACTGAACTGATTAATATTTGATTCTGACATCTAAGGACTGCGTAAGTACAATACATTATAAGGTTACTCAAATTAGAGGGCTAGCACTATCTGTTTTTTTTCTTCTCCCTATGCACCTGTCACACTTTTTATGCAAAGGCTGTTTATTAAATGCAAGCAAGCCCACTGATTTCCTGTTTCATAATGGTCATGATCTGATCATCTCTATATTCAGTGTATGTTTCTACAAAAAAAAAAACCACCTCAAAATTGATTTCAAGTACAAAACAGCAGCTATCTAATCCACAAATAAAAACTATGGTGATGTTCTGCTTTTCCTAAAACAAGCTTGAAGCCATGATTATATTAAAGACACAGAAGTGAGGGGATTTTTCAACTTCCAAACAGTTACGCAAACAAAGTATTACAATCCAGGGGTGCAGGTAAATGAATAAGCAAGCAAACTACATGATGTTTGTGCAGCGTCCTCTCAAATCCTGCAATCCCTTCTAGAAAGTCTGGATCTACATCTCCCTCTTCTTTACTCATGTTCTTCTCGCATGGCTTGGTCTCAGAAACTTTCCATGCCTGTAACGGAAACTCGAGCCAACTTCTTAAATGTATGATTTCTTCATCTCCACTCATCATCCACTTCTGTTTCTGAGAAGCTCCTCATCATGACACCTGTATCTCAAGAAGCAAAACAGGAAACATCACAGGGATGAAGCAAGGAAAGATGAATAATAATATGCCTCTGTGTCTTTAATAAAATCCCAACTTCCACTCAAGTTCCTTTTAGGAAATAAAGAGTTCCTTTCACAAAAGCAAAGTTTTGCCTAACTAGGTGTGTAAACACCATGTGCCAAAATTGGGGTAACCAATGAAATCTCCCAGTCTGCACCTCTGTTGCTGACATGATGAGCAGGAGAAACCCTGTAGCAGCCAGCCTTATATGCTGTGCAAAGCACCACTGCTTGCCAAGCTTGCCGAACTAGTCTGCGGCAGCCAGCTCAACTAAAAGAAACCGCTGACCCATCTACTAACTTATCCGCTACTGAAAACAATGCAACTTATCTTTACTTAGGACCTATTTGTTCAAGTAAGTAGAGTTCTAGCTCACATCTGAGATCAAGAATAAAGATGTAAGCCTCTCTACCTTCCTCACTGCTCCTTAATCTACGCAATTTCCACAGTATGTTTGTGTTTTTACCAGAGGAGACGTTTCCTCTGCTTTATAGCAGTTTAACTACAAGATGACAAAGGCCTAAGGTATTTTCAACATGCTTTTGTCCCCAAAACCATGTCATAATGTTTAGGGTTGGAGTAGAGGGGACTTGCCTATCTGTTTCTGCCATCTAAAACTTGGGATCAAGCAGGCCCAAAGCCAACAGCAGCACTGTTCAGAGCCTAACAATAAAAAGGCGGAGGGGTGACTCATCCACAAAATGGAGACACAGCCATCTTGTGTCCAAACAAGCAGCCCAAACCGTTTGTCAGCTCACGATTTTGCCAGAACGCTGAACAAGGGGGTGCAGGAGAAATTATTTTTGCAGTGTTCCCAGCCATTAAGCCTTCAGGGCAGATAAGCAGGTACCAAAACCATTCTGCCAGCCAGCTCTCAGTGATAAAGAAGCACGAAAGCAATTTTATCTCTCCCTTTTAGGGTTAAGGCCATCTTTAAACATTAGCACCAAAATCTATCCCTCTAGTACCTCTTATCAGCTACCATCTCAAATTCTCAGAATTCCACCTCCCACCTGAAATCCTCCTTCCTCCTGCATAAAGCACCTGACAGCAGCATGCTCCATACACAGGGCACACTCCACTCAGAAAGACAGCATAGTCCTGTGCCAACTCCTCCCAGCGAAACGATGGGTCATTTCAGCTCTCTTACACTGTTAACTCAATTACAGATGTAGGGACAAAGTCCCATCTGAGCACAAAAGTCTTGGCTTTGGTTCCTGCACATAGCAGTAGAGAAGATAACTAAGCCTTGGATGGTCAGAGAGAAACCTTCTGACAAGGCCCGGAGCATTGCAGAAACAGTAGCTGTTAAGTAACCGGACAGAAATCTATTTGTTGTGCAGGGATTACATGTGAAAGAGAAATACATATTCTCTCAATTCTGAACTCCTCACCCTCAAAAGCGCTTAGGAAGCAAATAGTCCAGAAAGCCTGGGCCTCAGTGATCATGCCTGCTATTGAGAAACATGCTACCGCCTATCAGGAGAGGCAACTATCACAGATTTCAAAAGCTTACAGAGCACAAAAGCTGAGGCAGCCACACATGTCCTGTCAGCAGGACATCCAAAACACATCCAGAAACCATCCAATTATTGTATACCACAGTGATCCTTAGTCTTTTATCATGATGATGCACTGTATACAAGAAACAGAAACCACAATTTCACTGTTCTATAATCTTCATAACTCCATTTTCTCTCTGAGCACCAGAAATTAACTGCAGACAAGTAATTAATTGTTGACATCCTCACTCGTTAATCAGATGTCTACACTCAGCATATGCACCATACAGATTACAAAACATCGAGGCTGCTCACTGTTGCATGCAGAAAAAGAACTGCAGAAAAAGACTAATAATTGTCAAAAAGATCTGACGCTGGCTGTCACCTGAAACAACCGAGGAATTTTCAGTTTTCTTTTGGAGAGACAATTTACTGGCAGGCTGGTACTTCTAACTTTGATCTTCATAGCAGCCAACACCAGCAGAAGAATTTCGTAGCTCAGTAACAAAACACAGAAACCTCGCGGACTGTTAACTCAATTACAGTATTTTGGCAAGGAAGCCTTCCCCTTATACCTTGGAGAAGGTCTTAAAATTAAACAGTGCATGTTTTAAAGGCATATGTGCCTCAATTATTTGGTGTAACTGTTCATGCACCTAACTGCTTTGCGAGAAGAAGTATTCCACAGCAACTTGCTTGGAAGACTGATATTTCTCCTTGTTTCCCAAGGAAACAACAGTTACATAATCACACCATCACATGCACAGAAACATAAATTATAAAGCCAATTTCAAACTAATCTGATGGAAAACAATGGAGATTTCACAGGTGCTCAATTCCTACAACAGGCTTGCAGAATAAATAACTGAGGCAGATCCCTGAGCAATGCGCCTCATTCACAAACATCAGGAAGACATCCCTTTGATTAAATATACCCAAGAACTACAAGGCAGTGAGGCTGCTCAGACACTGTTGTTGGGAAAATCAGGGATGCTAACAGTACTGATGTGTAATGGAAAGAAAGAAGGGAAGATGTTTAAGGTATCACAGTGCCACCAAAACTGACAAGGCTGCTGGAAACTCCCATCTTCACTAGTGCAGCTGCTCAGAGAGCTACTTTTTAATCTACAGAGCAATTCAGCAATGATGTATGCACCCATCACAGCTTCCACCTTTAAGCAGGCTGCTGCTGACGTGTTAGCAGGCACTTCTCAGGATTTGTTAAAGACACTTGGTCAACAGTTGTCCTCTTTCACCATTGAGAAAATGGAAAAGTAGACATATACTCCAGTACAGGTGGCCTCAGAAAACCCTAAAAAAAAAAAAAAGTATTCTTCTCAAACCCTTCCAACAAGATTCTACTCAGGCAGGGTAAGCTAAGCACTGCCACAACAGGTCAGATTGCTGGTCCATCTGTTTGAGAATCCTGCCTCCTGTGATCGGGACCAGATGCTTCAGAAGGTGGAACAGCTCGTGTAATGAACAATGATGTAATTCACCCAAAGGGGAAATTCCTTCCTGACCTCATCAATTAGCATGAAGGTTTATACGCTTAATTTATTTTTAATCCTATTTACTGCAACTCTGGACATTGTCATTACATATATAAATGTCCAGGTCTGCTTGGAATCCAACTAAACTTTTGGCCTCGGTAATATCATGTGGTATAATTATGCCACTTCAAATATACTAATTTTCAATTAAACATCCCTTTGTTCTTGCACTATGGGAACTAGCACAGCTATTAACCACCTCTCTTCCCCTTCCAAGGGCTCCAGTCCCACTTGCACCATAAACCCCCATGCCATACTGTGATGTTACAGAGCAGGAACATAATCTGAGGACCATTAAGGCAACAATTTAGCAACTTTTATCCAGCAACGTTTCTGCTAAACTAAATTTCTGGGATCTGCTGGAAGCTGGCAGCTCCACCAGAATTTCACCAAGCCCTACCCTCTTCCAGATCTTGCAAGTTCACTTTTCTGAGGTCTTCCATTCCAGAGCTGCCACCCTTATAAAGCAAACTGTTTTGCCCTGTGTTGTGCTCTTTGAACCTCCCCCCCAAGGTGCTGTTAAATTTAGTTATAAAAGCAGCATACCATGCTGGGCTTTTCAAGGTCACACAGGAACCTCTCCCTCTGAGCAAAGAGTTCCCCTGCCTTCTCTATGACTGTATAAAGAACAATAGTGTCCAATGAAGCAAAACCAAACCCATTTTGCTCTTGGCTGATGTTCCTGTGGGCGGCAGGTTCCTCTGTGCAATAACTTTATACTGTGTTGTTGCTTACAGATGAGCTCATGACGTATTCATCATGATTATCATGCCAAGTACTTCCTAAAGCTCCAGCGTGATTAGTCCCTGCCATTTCTACTCACACAACACTTGCAAGAGGCATCAAGGCATAAAACCACACTTTCATTCAATAAAAGTTTGGGGAAGAAAAAAATATAATGATGTATGCAAGCAGCAGACAAAGAAAGGAAACTCTTAAAAGCACCTTGAGGTTCTAGATCCTCTTGTCTCCCCAAAACATAGTCCTGCTTTCAGTAACTATTTGGGCTGCATTTTCTTCTCCCAGCCTCTGGAGTTAAAACTTTGGACACCAGGCCACAGGTTCTTAATCCCAAAGTCTTTAAGAGAGAAAGAGTAGGTTTGGCTGATACCTCATGGGAAGATGGCCCTCCAAAGAGATGACAGAGTTTTTCTAGCATCTGTGAGAAACACCACATACCCATCACTGTTCTACCGCAAGTGTTTTGATTATGGGCTTGGAACTGGAGAGTTATGGCAAGAGAACACTTCTTTGCCTCAGCCGAAAAGAAAATGACACCATTTCGTCCCTTTTTAGAAGGATCTTCAAGCAACCAACTGGTCGAGAGAAAACTCCTGTCCCAGCCTATGGTCCATAAACAAATGGAGGTCTTTAATGATCAAAATAGCACTAAAAGAACTAATAACAGCCATCACTTTGCCAACTGTTAGCTCGTTAAGTAACACAACCACATGCAACCTTATCCTCTGCTAGAGTATCATATACTGATTAGAGTCAATAAAATCAGAGGTCTCAGAATGGTAGTTAAATTGTCCCATTGCATTCTTCTCAGTGGCCTCCCCATGCTGTTTAATAGTTACACAGCAGTCTTAGAAACTCTGTTCCAGAGTGATGATCTTAAGACTAAGAGGCCATAAACACTTCCCTGTTCTGTCTCATGTGTAAAGACAACATACTGAACTGAGAACTTCTACAATGCTCTTAAGCAATGCTCAAACAGCAGTCCAAGCCACAAGTTTCAGAGCAATGCCATACCAGCATCTCCAGGACCTCTGATCAGCCATCAAGTGGTTTGCCTTTGGCATGTCAGGATTTGCTGAGGTTGAAAGAGAAGACAGTAATGATACAGAACAATCCTCCCATCAGCAGTGGCAAAAGTTATCTTGGAGGC